TTTGGATTTCTTGGATGAATAACCTAGGTAGGGTGGAGGGGTATTTATACTACAGCCTACGCAATCTAGACCTAACAAATATGAATCTTTTTCCTAAAATATATAGATCTCTTTCTCCTAAAATCTCTACGTATCTTCCTTAAAATCTCTACTAAAATAAATATACAATGGGCTCGTACAATTATTGGGCTTGACTCTATTGGGCTAGTGATGATATTTCAACACTCCCCCTTGACACTAGTCCTCATTCGCTGCACCATGTTGAGCTGACTGCCAGTATTTAGCTCTTTTGTAAACAAGTCTGTTACTTGGTCATCTATCTTGATTTGCTGCATCTCGATTTCTTCCTTCAAGATTTTCTCTCTAATGAAATGGTAGTGTACCTTCACATGCTTTGTTCTAACATAAAACACCGAATTTTCTGCTAGGAGAATCGCAAATTGATTGTTGCAATGAAGTGGTATTGGATACTCAATTTTCTGGTGCCAATCTTCCATCAAAAGTTTTAACCATGTATTTTCCTGAGCTACTCCAGCTGCTCTGTACTCTGCTTCTTTAGTTGACAATGATATTGTTGGTTGTCTTTTGTTACACCAAAAAATTATTCTCGAACCGAGCTTGAACGCGTACTCAGTTATTGATCTTCGGGTATTGTGGTCTCCTGCATAGTCGACATCACTATATCCAGCTAGCTTTCAGTCTTCGCTTCTTTTGTATAAACGATCCTAATTGATTGTACCTTTGACATATCTCAAGGTCCTTTGAGCCGCATCCAAATGAGGCTTCTTCAGATTTTGCATATATTGATCAATGACTCTAACTTCATTTTCGAATTTCTTCAGTTGGTCCATGTAGAGCTCTCTATTTAACTCTCCATGCAAGAAAGCATTATTCATATCCATCTGCCATAATTTCTAATCTTTATTTACCGTAAGTACTGGAGGAACTTGTACGATAATGATCTTTGCCACTGGACTAAACGTTTCATCATAGTCTAGTCCATATTCTTGAGAGAACCCTGAATCTATAGTTTGAGCTTTGTATCTCACGATTTATTCATCTGGGGTACACATTATTTCGTAAGCCCACTTGCAAGATATGAGTTTGGTACCTCTTGGTCTTGGCACTAATTCCCAAGTTTGATTTTGTTCCAGAGCTATAGTTTCTTCCTCCATCGCTTTTTCATATGTCTTCGACTCATTAACTTCTTCTTCTACTGCGTTGGCATACTCTGGATTTGTCTTTAGGATTATTTCTGAATGTCTGAGTTGTTGAGTTGTTGAGATGTCATTTCATTTTCACTAGGCTCGCTTGGTTGAGTCACTTCTTGCTCACCAACACTAGTGTCACTTGAATCTTCAGGCACATAAGCACTTAAGCAAATGTGTACAATTTGCTCCCCCGTCTTTTGTGGAAGAATCTCTTCAGTTTGCTCTTTTGTGTTCTATAAAAGAATTTCTTTTGTTTGCTCCTCTGTGTTTTGTAAAAGAATTTCTTCAGTTAGCTCAAGGTCTGGTAATACTTCCTTCTCTGAGGTCCATCCTCTTCCATTACACCGCTTTGATTGTCAATCATGTGGTTTAAGAATCTTGAATCAATGATCCAGTCATCCTCGTAATCGATATGCTCTTCCATCATTGCCATGAGTGCTAGCTCGTCTTCTACTATTGGACATAGTACCTCTGCATCTCATTCATTCTCTATTTTCTTTTTGGATATTGCCACATTGCTTTCAATCGACTTTTTCCTGGACCAACAATCTCTAGACATGTGGCCATTTTTCCTGCAATTATAGCAAATACCTTTAAATCTCTTTCCTTTGGAAACTCTTGTTGTCGTTCTTCTGAGCTCTCTCCGGTTGTGAAGTTCCTTGGTGACTTCTTCTTTTGTCACCATTGTATTCACATTTGGTAGACGACCTATTATTGCTCAGACTTTCACTTGTGTAGAGTGCTTCTTCTTCACCTTTCAATGTGATGCCTCCCATTTGTTTAGCCATGGCTTCTTGGCTGGCTAGGCTGGCTAACAAATTTTCGAACTCTACAAGTAATGGTTGAGTGGGTCATCCTTGTACAGCAGTAATAAAGCTTCTATATTCCGGTCGCAATCCGTGGATTATAATCCTCTTCATTCGAGATTCTACAATGGCAGACTTCGGGTCTAGTTCAATAATCTCCCGATACATCCATTTGACCTTGTGGAAGTACTGAGTAATCTTCATGTCACGTTGTGAAATTGACAACAACTCATTCTCCAGAAGTTGTAGCCTCGTATCGTTCTTCTTTGAGAACAACATCACGAATGTGTCTCATGCTTCTTTTGGTGTCTTGTCATCCCAAATATGTTCTAACATCTCTTCTCCGATTGTGGTCTTCAAGGAAAATATTGCTTTGCCTGCTTTGGTTCTCTATTTGCGCAAGGTGCCGTTAGAATCCTCCTCTGGCGGCATAGTTTCACACCCGCCAATGATCTCCCAAAGATCTTGTCCTTGTAAATAGAATATCATGCATGTTGCCCACGTGTTGTAGTAGTTGTTGTTGAGTTTCTTGATTTCTTCAACGATTTGGAAATCACCCATCGTGTTGGCTATACCTCAGTAATACCAAACAAGCTCTTTCGACACAAGACTTGCAGAGTCACAAACTACTCACGACACAAAAGAAACTCACTCACTACTTATCTCAAGAAATCGTTTCTGATGTGGAAGATAAGATAGAGCTGCAACCACAGAGCATACTAAGAATTCCAAGAGATCATATAACATACACTAACCTTGCTCTGATACCAAATGTTGAACACAACTCTCTGTGGGAAACACTCACACTCTTTATTAAGACCAATCGAGAAGAGAATACAAGACACCGTGTAGGGTGGAGGGGTATTTATACTAGAGCCTATGCAATCTAGACCTAAACATTACTTATGGTGTGGAAACCTCTCACTAGCAAACATTACTTTCTCCATTCTATGTATTCTATCATGCTTGAAATCATCTGTATAATCTTTTAGCCAATATTCTTCTTTGAACTTTCTCTCTCTGTTCTTTGTGTTCATCTAGATTGAGTGTGTACTTTGTTGTGCAACACTTCACCATTGTTTTGAACGATGGATATGTATATATATTAATCTCAGGTGAAAAATGTAGGCATTTACATTAAAACGATACCCGGCTCAGCTATCGCTAACGACATGGATGAATCTGATCGGAGCAGCACAAACAGGCGTGTTCGCACTGTTGACACAACACAAGCCAGGAGTTTGGAAGGTTGGAATCAACATTGATCTATGGTGCATTATCTATGCTGTAAGGAAACTCAGGAAAGCAACCTTGATAGCCTTAGATTGTGATGTGTTAATAGTGATGCCAAAATGAATACTCGCAGGGCATTGTGGGCTCAGCTTTGGTGATATATATACAACTTTGGTGCACTGAAAAAAAAGGCCCAGTTTTCGCGACAATGTACAGTCCACTTGGTGCCGTTTTGGTTGCGCTTTTGGCTTACTTTGTTTTTGGACAAAGGCTTTACGTCGGCAGGTAAGAAGCTTCATATCTTTATAATGGTACATTGAGATGAACACTAAATTTTATGCTATTGTTCTATTTCTGTAGCATTGTTGGTGGAGTTATCGTCGTGGTTGGGCTTTATTTTTTGTTATGGGGCAAAGAAGGTGAACATAAGCTTCAAGATGAGTCAATCGCTAGTAATCATGTTTCACAAGATGACCCTTAGTTCGTATGCTCGTGGAATAGATTATCATCGAACATTTCTTATTTAGGGAAATTTTTTTTGATGCAAGTTCGGGTATGACTTGTCAGACGTTTAGATGGAACGTTCGTAAGATCGTGAATGAAGTTATGAAAGGCGTTTCGGAAGCAAATATGAATGAATTTTTTTGATAATCAACTTATATCAAAAGTAAACGTGGAGAAAGTTCTTATTGGTTTTTAATCTTCTTATTGTTTTCTCCTACGGGTCGAATCTTCTATACTTTCATAATTTTTTAACTCTTGTAAGAAAATTTAAAGGTATTGGAGCAAGAGAAGTCTAGAATGAGGTTTCTATATCAAGGGATGTTTCGTTCTTCTCTCCGACCAATGTGGGATCTTACCGTTCTCCACTCCCTTGGAGGCCAACGTCCTCAATAGTACGCTACCCGATGTCTAGCTCGGAGGTTAGGGAGAGGTTTCCACACCCTTATAAAGGATACTTCGTTTTGTTCTCTAATTGATGTGGGATCTCATAGTTCACCCTTGGGAGCTAGCGTCCTCGTTAGCACGCTACCCAATGTCTGACTCGAAAGTTCGGGAGAGGTTTCCACACCCTTATAAGGGATGCTTCGTTCCGCTCTTCAATCGATGTGGGACTCACAGTTCTCCACCCCTTTGGAGCCAGTGTTCTCACTAGCACACTGCCCAATGTCTAGCTCGGAGGTTAGGGAGAGGTTTCCACACCCTTATAAAGGATGCTTCGTTCTACTCTCCTACCGATGTGGGATCTCACATTCCACCTCCTTTAGGGGTCAGTGTCCTCGATAGCATGCTCATTGATGCTAGCTCAAAGTTTTTAACACCCTTATGCTCTCTAACCGATGTGAGATCTCACAATCCACCCCTCCTTAGGGACCAACATTCTCACTTGCATGCCACCGATGTTTGCTTCAGATGATACCATTTGTAACAGCCCAAGCCTACCACTAGCAGATATTGTCTGTTTTGGCTTGTTATGTATCATCATTAGTCTCACGAATTTAAAACGTATCTATTAGAGAGAGATTTCCACACTTTTATAAGAGATCTCACCGTAGATCTCTTAAGTTATTCTTGAACATGATTATCGTTCATCTAAATTATGGTTTCCGGTCATAATCTTGGATTTTATATACAATAATTATTAAAATTAAATACTTAATTACTAGATTTTAGAATGGTTGAACATGTATCAACTCAACTTTAATGAATTCGAAAATATAAAATAGACCCGAGACGAATAAATCCACTCTTAAAGCACCAAAATTTTCACTCAAAAACTCCAAATTATAGAAATATGAACAAAATATGGTGTAATCTACATCACCAAATTACAAATTACAATGATGAAAAAATGGACAAAAAAGAAGAAGAAAAAAACAGAGGCTTTTAAGGTTGAAGCTGAATGGGCAAAACTCCATTTCTAGATCCTCTGCCACTTCCAAAAGAAAAGAAAGATCTTCGTACTCTGTTACTGCAACCCTCTGCCTCAACCCTACTCTCACCGCCGCCGCTCTGCCGCACCGCCGCCTGCACCGCCATGTACAGCTGCCGGTCGCCGGAAGAATCCATCGAAAACGACCTCCTAATGGGCTGCACTAAAAACTCCTTATCCTTCTCCCTCATGTCAATACACTCATCCCCCATACTCGTAACCTTTCCAAACGGTGGAGGACGGCGGCGGTCGGGATTCCGACCAAGTTCAATCACAACGAAATTCTCATCGGCGGTGGTGGCATCGACGGAGCTGCCGGAATTGAGAGCCAAATCTCGAGGGGAAGGGGCTTGATCGACCGGAATCAGCCAATTTTGGGCGGAGATTGAGGTTCTACAAAGTGGGCAATTGGGATTATTCTGAAGCCAAATGTCAATGCAATCAATATGAAAGAGATGGCTACAAATCGGAATCTTTCTCAATTGCTCCTCCGGCCGAAACTCCGTCAGGCAAACGGCGCATTCGCCACCACTGGCTGTTTCCTTAATGGGTTTCTTGTAATTAATCAATGGGATTGATTGAATCGTTGATGGGTCTAACCCACGTGGATCCGCTGGCTGCCGGAGTATTAATGTCTCTTCACGGCGGCGGGAAAGGGAAAACCGGCGGAGGATTTCAATTCGTTGCCAGTTGAGGCAGCATTTGATGACGAAGATGTAATAGCCGACGAGTAAGAACGCAGTGGCGCAGATTCCGATGACGGCAACGGCGATGATTGGAAAACTTGAAACGGAGGTGGAGGAGTGAAGCGGAGTGGCCGACGGAGAGATGAGGGGTTTTTCCATTAATTTGGAGTTGCAGAGAGGAAACTTGGGGAAGACGAAGACTGAAATTTGGAAGACTTCGATTCCTTTTGTCTTAATATTTTTGGAAAAACTTGTCTGTGTCTTGAAATTTGTGTACTTTGATTACGTAATGGAAAATTAAATTAATTTGTGGGTTGCACGAAGAACACTTTCTTTTTTTATAATTATTTTTCAATTATGATTTATTGTAAAATGATTGGTTTCCTAACTAAAATGTGATTTTTTTTTTTGGGATATGATCGATTGTTTATAAACTTAATTTTAAAAAATTAAAATTAAAAATTTAGTGTTGAAAATTATTGAAAATATATCGTAATTTTAAACACAAATTTTCGAGAATAAAATAAAAAATGGTGGAAAATAATACAATATAATGATTATTAATTTTAGGTATGAAACCAACCTTTGGATGGAAAATAAAAAAAATTAGATAAATACATTTGTTTGTCGGTTTCCTAAGTATATTATTCCTTTCTTAACCACCCATCAAATAATTTTAAATTGTTTTTCTTAAAATAGTTTCCTCTCACTTTCTGTAATGTCACAATTTTAAAACGTATTTATCAGAGGGAGGTTTCTACACTTAATGTTTGGTTTCTCTTTCCAACTAATGTGGGGTCTCACAATACATTCTTTTGGAAGCCAGCATCCTCGCAATCACAACGCTCAATATGTGGCTCTGATACCATTTGTAACATTCTAAGCCCAGTGCTAGTAGGATATTATCGCTTTGGCCTGTTACGTATTGCAGCTAGCTTCACAATTTTAAAACGCGTCTACTAGAGAGAGGTTTCCACTTATAAGAAATGTTTCGTTCCTCTCACTTATTGATATGGGATCCTCACATGTCACATTTTCTAAACAAAACATCCAATTCTCTCTAATTCTAAAAACAAAAAATTTAACTTTTGAACGACATTTAAAAAATCAAAGATTACCCACTAATTAAAAAAGGGAAAACAAAAGGATCCAAAAGTTTCAAAAAGATGTCGAAAAAAGCTAACCCAAATCCAAAATTAGGGTCGTGTTTTGGAGAGAAAAAGAAGAAATGGGTCCAAATCAAAATTCAAAATTGCTAACCTTATCGTATCAAATCATATCATAAGATTTTCTCAATTCACACAAAATGGGAAAGTAGAGAAACAAGAAGACAAGACAATTCAAATAATGGGTGTAATTAATTTCACAAACATGTGGGATTCCATTCATAGTCCCCACACCAAAAGGCAAAATTCAATTGCTTCACAATTTGTGGCAAAAAATGAGTGTACAAATACAACAAAAATAGTGAGCCTATTTTGCCATCATCCGTGAAAAAGTTGATACCGTAATCTTTCACCTAATTTGAAATCGTTATTCGATGGTCTTAACATTCCCTCACATCATCTGTGACACGATCACATTACTTACTTCTCGCTTGTAAAAGTAAAAACTATCTCCTTACAACATACTTTGTCCTCATTTACATATATCTAAGGAAAATTCGCACAAGGTCACCTAACATAAAATTTCTCCAAACAAAACACACTTAATCATGAAATTTTTATAATTGAGTCACCGAAAAAAGAAGGTATACCTTGTTAGTATAGGTAATAGCTTTTATTTTCTTTAAGCCTTTTTAAGTCATTCAATCTTCAAGATCGCTCTCATTCGAACGTGGTCTCGATTCATTCATATTTCAAAGTTTAGAGTAATTTTTTTAATCTTATTAGGTTTATGTTTAGTCTCTATCATTGACTAAATATAAACAATATCATTCTCATGTTAAAGGAGATTGTCAACCATTGGTTGTGGAAAATGGAAATCAATCTTATTCTTAACCATCTTACCATAAACTACAAAATGTACTTCCAAAAAAATATAAATATTTTTACTATTCAAATTTTTTAAAATTAATCGATCAAGCGGGTTATAACATTGTCATTTATGTTTAATAGAATCTTAAATTTTAAATTTATAATTACTCGACAAAATAAAAAATAAAAAATTCAAGAATTTATTAAATATTTTTTTAAAAAATTGAAAGTAGGTAAATTATTGTAGATAATTGGTTGAGACCAAAATTATGGGTATGTGCCCCAAAATTGGGGGCAATATTCTGTAGTTGGAACCACTACAACATCCACTCCAACCTGGTCTTATAATTCAACTACAAGATTCTTCTTGCTGTCTCTTAATGTCTTTTTTTCTTTCTTTAAATGTTTTTTTTTTAAAGTTTCCGATCTTCTTTCATCTCTACAGCGTATAGTTTTTTATATATAAGAAATTAACGTTATTATAAATCACGATAGCATCGAGACACAAAACCCTAGTTACATGTTTAATTTTGGAAAAACTAATATTGCATCAAAATGCAATAAGTAAGAGTGTCGACGCTACAAATGGATAGTCATGAACACATGTCGTCGAGAGGGAGATAGTTGCACGACAGCATCTCAACGCTGTCTTTGAATACTCTTTGTTAGTCTATTTTCTAAAAATGTACGATTCTATAAATATTAAACTAACTATAAAATTAATATATTTTTAGTCGAAAATATTAGTTGACTTAAGCTAAATGTAAATAGAAAAAAAGAAATGAAAATTTCAAAATTGAAATAAAGAATGTGAAACATAGCACATGGGGAGGTGGCAGCAGCTATTTAAGGGCACTTTACTTGGGAAATGAGTATGTCAGAAGAAGATGGGAAAATCCTTAAAAATTATTTCTGACAACCTTTTGTATATATTTGACATTTAACACTTATTTTTATTTTATTTTTATTTTTAAACGAAATTATGCACTTCCATTTTTTTTTTTTTTTTTTTAGTTCAGTCACAGTAACTTCATAGTTAAGTGTGTTTTGTTTGGAGTAATTTTTTTAATGTGAGTGAAGACAAATCATCCTAGAAGAACTCGTGTTGGAGTTCCTATGACTGAATATTATCCCTACAAACCAACACGAGTTTTTCCAACACTATTAGGTGCCGAATTCGGGGGTTGTTACAATTAGGGATAGTCTTCACTTTAAAAAATGAAGAGTAAGTGATGTGATCATGTCGCATGAGAATGTCGAGATCGTCGAATTTGGATTCTGAATCCTAGGCATGGATCGTTACAATTAGAGATAATTTTCACTCTTAGAAGCGAATAGTAAGTAACGTGATCATGTCGCAGGAGAATGTCGGAGCCATCAGGTGCCTAATTTAGATTCTGAATCTTAGGCATGGATCGTTATAAAGGGTATTTTTGGAATTATTTATTTAATAATGCATGAAATATGAAAAGAGTCAAAGATTGGATTGTGAGGGGTGGCATAATATTCAATGGGCTGACTAAGTCTAGTTTGAACGGCCAGGCCAGAACCCAAGTTTTCTTTTCGCACCAGCACGTGCGCCTGTTCGGTCGTCACGTGCTACCACGAGAAATTTCATTTACTATATCACTGGTCAAAGTCTACTCATTCCCATTTGACTGACAGTTAGCGTTACAAAAATTCAAACATTTCTATTTGTTTATTATAAAAAATTCGCCGACAATGTCCGGATAGGCTGAGCTTAGTCAACACAAAGCCCAATCTCATTTACATGCTTCATAATTGTTGATCCTTTCTTTTTTTATTTTTACTAGTTCGAGTTTTGAACTTCTAACATTTTGCTCGAGACTATAACGTTTTAGCTGAAGACTCATACGAACGCTTCTATATGGGGGTCTCCTCATAGTATCTAAGAGCCACCATGATCGTAACCTATCTATCCCGACTACCTTACAGGTGAAAACTGTTAGATGAACACGACTCTCCACAATAGTATGATATTTGTCCACTCTGAGCATAAGCTCTCATGGCTTTATTTTGGGCTTCTCCCAAAAAGTCTCATGTCAATGAAGAAAGTATTCTTTGTTTATAAATCCATGATTATTCCCTAAATTAGCTGATGTGGAACTTTCATCATCCAACAAAAACAACTCGAGTCTCATCTCTCTAATCATTAATAAAATCTTACATATTCCTAATCTTTTTTGTCATATCAATAATTAGAAGCTTCCGTCCCATATCAAAGTCATAATCGAAATTGTCACTATCATCAACAGTGAACTTAGTGATTTATAGAGAGTATTTTACCATTCTTAGAACTTTTTGGAAGTTGCACAATTCAACTGTTGAAGATTGTTGGGAGGGAGTCCTACATTGGCTAGTTTAGAGAACGATCATGGATTTATAAGTAAGGAATACATTTTCATTAGTATGAGGCCTTTTGAAGAAGCCCAAAACATAATTACGAGAGCTTATATTTGAAGTGGACAATATGTAAAGGATAAGATACTCAAATGAAATAGAAAAGAGAGAGAGCAAGGGGCATTTGCACGTGAGAAAGTTAATACAAAAAAAAAAAGAACCGAAACTTCCTTTCACTTTTGCATTAAAAAAAGGGGAATCAAAGACTTTCAAATAATTCAGTGCCTTCTAGAAATACCACTTCAACAACAATGGTTTTCTTTTATTTATTCATTTTTCTATTCTTGGTTATGTCATTACCAATCTTCGCTTAACTCTTGGGCGGACTAATTTAACCTTTGAGTTCTTCTCGTTATAGCATTACCAATAGTGGGTAACCCTTGGATTGACTAATTTAGTATTTGAACTCTTCTAGTTACACCATTACTAATCGTGAGTAACTTTTGGGCTGACTTATTTAGCCTTTGATCAAATATTATGTTAGGAACCACGACCCTCCACAATAGTATGATATTGTCCATTTTAAGTATAAACTCTCGTGACTTTACTTTTAGTTTCTTCAAAATGTCTCATACTAATGAAGATAGTATTCCTTACATATAAACGCACGATCTTCCTCTTAATCAGTCTACACGAGACTTCCCTTCCAACAATCCTCCACATATTGAACTCAACAGGAAATATTGACCCAATTCAACCAGGATTTTGATTTTCGTCTCCTTGAAGCCGAAGAAGTACATGAACAATAATGAACAAAACGAGAATCAAACATATTTCAAGAATTGGACATGGTCCAAACGCTTGAATTTTTCTTATTTCTATTGAATTACTTCCCCTTTTGATATTCTTAAATTAAAGAAACAAAAAAAGAAAAGAAAAGACAGAACCGAATCTAGCTCCTTAAAAAAGAACA